TATTACATCACCTAATATTAACATATCTAACACTTGGAGCCCTGTAGTGTCCATTTTTATGAAATTGGGAGCCCCAGCATTGGATGTATACATACTTACACTTCTCAAATTATTTGGTGAATTTCCCTCTTTACAAATATGTAATCCCTTATATGTCTCTTCTGATTGATTTTAGGTTCAAGTCTACTATATTGGATAATAGAATTGCTATACTAGTTTGTTTATAGCTTCCATTTCTTTGTAAGTCAATCTTCATTCCTTGACTCTCATTTTTAAAGTATTTAATTTTAAAATATGTTTCTTTGAGAAAAGAGATAGTTGGATCTTGTTTTCTCTTCAAATCCATTGGTGCACAGATAGACACAAAGGTAAAACATCTACACACATAAAATAAAAACAAATTTAAAATAAGAAAAAGAAAAGATGACAAGTTTAATAGGATGGATAATGAATGAATAGTTCAGAGCTAAAGAACAAAATTAACTAAAGGTTAATTATATAATTTAAAAATATGTTTTAGTTATTTATTTGAATATAGAATCAAGTTGTTACTTTCACTGGGATTTTCCATTGTATGTACTTTTGGCACCTCAAAAATGCATTTTGTATTGTATGTTGCATGTAATTAGGGGAAGTAAAAAATCAACAAATGATTAGCCAATATAAAATGCAGTTAGGTCATCTGTACTGGCTAGCTATGAAGTATCTAAATTTAAACTCTACCTTCTCCAGAAAGATTAAAGACACTTCAAACTGATAACTTTCAGGTCCTCTTAGAGAAAATTTTAAGTACATAGGGTACATTACATACCTAAGAAAGACCAAGGAGCTTTTCATAGTTGTAAGCCACAGGGTGGGGATAAGGAAAGATGACGAGGACCTACATATGTTGACTTGAAACAGCATATGATTTTGATATAATGGAATACTCAATACCTCTAACACATAATTTTTATGGAATAAATATGTAAACACCCTTCTTTGGGAAAGTTTTAAATTAGACAGTGAATAAAGTACCTAGTACCACAAAATAGTTGAAGTTGTAGCTAGATTTAAATTCAGAATCCAGAGGTAGATATATTTTCAGGGCAAGATGAAATTGGAGTGTATTTGTGGAAGAAAGGGTGTGAAAGTACTGTAGTTTTACCAATACTCATAATTAGGGCTTGTCTTGATAATTTCTATGTCCTCAGATTGTACCTCTTTTCATCATCTCAGTGACCAAGAAACACAGTCACATTGTAAGAAGGTCATGTTGTAATGAGTGTGTGATTTCTTTCTCTAAAGTCATGCAATGCAGGGAACCAGTTGGTTTTGGAGTTTTATAACGGTAATTGTTTTCACTAATGAAAAACACTGCAGTAAGATAGGCTTGTTGCAACTTGGACTGGTAGTAATTGCTGCAATCAGCTGATCTGGTAGGAAGTGAAGGACTCCTGGGTAATGAACTTCACTGATGCCAGTTCCCTTCCCCAAGGAACACCTTAGCAACCTCAGGAGGTCTGCTCTGAAGGCCCAGAGACCTCAGTCCAAACAAGAATATAGATCACGAAAGGAGAATGTTGTATGGTTTAATTTACTCCTGCAGATTTTCACAAAGTGAGAAAGCTCAACTCATGCATCACCTGCAAGTGGCTACACAGGATTCTGCAAAGAATGGAATAGAAAGTGATCAGGAAGCCCTCTCCCAGCTGTAGGCTCAGCAGTGGCCCCAGAGCCAAGCCCTAAAGGATCCTCACTATCAAGCTGTGGGTAAGAGTGTGTCAGGCAGACACTTCATCATGTTTCTTCCTATGCTGGACGTTAAGGAAAAGACCAAGAGCATTCAGAAGTATGAAGTGTGCTAAGTAAATAGGGTTCATGGGATATTCATATTGTGTAGAACACAAAGTTAATGTTGAGAAATTGGTTACTTATGCTGGTACACATGCATTCTCTCTTGAGATAGGCGCTCACATTATAGTCCAGAATGTGTCAGGGTTACAAGTGTGAGCCACCATGTCAGGGGTTTATTCTCCTTTGTAACTGTTGCTGTGAAGAGCTTCATCTCAGAATTAGCAACATGGATATGATTTTTAAACAAGTGTGTAATCTTTGACAAGGCATCTTCCCCTTCTTGACTCCCATTTCCTTCTTTGTAAAATGGGGAAGTTTAAGGGGTTGATCTCTTAAGTTACAACTATTTGGACTTCAGTCTCATTAGATATTGGCCAGGGGCAATGTAACTGTGTGGAGTAGAGAATAAAATACAAGCCACTAATTCTAAAAACTTCTTGGAATGTGAGAACTGAGATATGGCCTAAGTAAGATAAATGCTAATTTGTAAATATGCTAGGTTTTCTAATAGCCCTCACTCCATCTCTGATGCCAAAGGAAGAGATGACCCTCATGAAAGACCAAGACAATCATCTTGATTGACATTTTATTTTTCATCAGCCATCACACCTGTGATACATCAGACATTGTACCAAAATTTCTAGGTGGTAAATAAAGTATGGAAATAATTTGTAAATTTCAGAAAGCTTACAGAGTGAATGAAGATATGGATTATCAGTTAAGAAACATTGCTCTTCTTCCAGAAGACCCGAGTTAGGTTTCCAGAAGCCACATTAGGTGGCTCACTACTGTTCCTTACTCCTGCTTCTTAGGATCTGATGCTCATGACCTCTGTGGATACCTGCACTCATATGTATATATATGTGTGTGTGTGTGTGTGTGTGTGTGTACATATATTCAGAGACACATACCTATATGTACCCATAAGTAATAAAAATAAACTTTTTATAAAGCTCACAGAGAGCTGCTTCTGTATGTAAAATATATGGAGAGGAATAACGTCAGTATCTGAAGTACTATGTAATAAAAGGACAGTGAGGAAGTATGACTGGACTTCTCTCTGTCTCTGTCATTATCTCATTTGTGTGTGTGTGTGTGTGTGTGTGTGTGTGCAGTCATGTGTATGTGTACATGCTTGTTTAGCGCATTTAGTGAGATTAATATAATATTTATATAATGATAGAATACTCTGAGCAAGTATTGTACTTATTTCTTTATTTCCTCAGTTAGAAAATTAAATACTTTGGGCAACAGGGTGAGTTTAGTTAAAAACACTATATTGTATTTTTTCATTGCATATGGCATTTTTTGTTATTTTCAGAAACACTCTTATTTACATATCCATCCCTCCATTCCCTTGCTCTCCAATCCTCTCATGCTCCCCACCGATCCCCCAACCCACCTACCACTCACTCCCCAGGGATAGTGAGACCCTCCAAGGGGGATCATCAAAGTCCATCACCTCATTTGTGGGAGGGCCCAGGCCCTCCTTTCTGTATCTGGGCTGCAATGGTATCCCTCCATAGGGAAAGGGCTCCCGAAGTCCATTTGTGACCTAGGAATAAACCGTGGCTTCACTGTTAGAGGTTCCATAGACTGCCTTGGCCTTCTAGCTGGTACCCACATTCTCAGGGTTTGGTTTGGTCCAATGCTGTTTCCCCAGATTTACAATTAGGGTCTGCAAGCTCTCATTAGGTTAGGTTAACCGTTTCTGCAGGTATCTCCAGTTCTGTCTTGGTTCATTTGGTCATCTCGCCTCCCTCTCTGCAACTGGATTCCGGGAGTATGGCTCAGAGCTCAGCTGTAGGTGCCTGTTTCTGCACTGACCAGCTACTGGGTCAAGGTTCTAGGAATGGTAACCAAGGTAGTCATCAAATGGCTCAGCATTAAAGGCAAGGCTCACAACCAAAAATATTGTATTTTTTAAAGTCGTATTTGTGTTTGCGTGTGTGCATGAGTAAGGGTGTGGAGGTCAAAGGACAGCTTTTAGGAGTCACTTCTCTTCTTCTACCATGTAGGACCCTGAATCAGACCCAGATCATTAGGCTTTGGCACCAAGTACATTTCAACATTCCATTTCACTGCATTTTAAAAAATACCAACAGAACAGATGCCAAGTGTTTTTACCACACAGTGACAGCTGTTTGACACAATATTTAAGTTAACTAGCTGTGTCCAATCCTTCTTCACTTTATAGCACCATGTCATATATGACAAATACATGCTGCAACTAAAGTAAGGAAGAACACAAAAAGAAAGAAACAGCAGTTTCTTAGCATTGGCCACTATATTCTATTTATTACCTGAGTCTGTCTCTAGTTACAATGTTTTAGAAAATATTCAATGATATCTAGTTACATTAACCATAAATATTCATTATCTGCACCCCAATGAATAAGAGATGTGCTTTTAAGGCTGGGGATAGAGAGGACTGTGGAAGTGACCAACATGGAGGAGAGAAGAGAGATGTAGGGTTTACTTTCAGTCTGAGTCTCCTTCATTTTCTTAAATTGTCTTAGTCTCTACTGTAATTTTTACCAGTGTGCAAAAGAGGCCTAAAATTCTAACTGATGTGCTTGAGGATAGATGATGTTGGATCTGTTTTCATGAGAGAATATAAGGAAGTAGGATGAAAAAAATCAGTGTTTCAAGGGCCAAAATCTTGATGAAGCAAACAAGTAGAATTTAGAAAACAGCAATTGTAATGTGAATTGCATATCATTGGTGTGGCACACTACCAGTACTTCCCAGTGTAAGTGATGTTCTTAACACATTCAATGAGCATTATATAATGGTAATATATAACACAAATAAGGAACACTGAAATTTCTAAAACCTACAGTATGAAAGACAAATGGGTTATAAGGTGGGACGTGGGGCCAAAGATTGGTTGTGACGCTCAGAAAAGGGAAGATAAGTTCTAATTATTGGGTAGAGATTCTGAGGACTGAAGGAGTGGGCAGGAGCAGAAATGAAATGCATACCTGTCATGTGATAAGGGAAGTTTACTCTAGGGTCAGGAGGAAGTATCGGAGTTTCCTTGATAGCATGCCAATGGCTGCTTTTGTAATAGGGGACGTTTACTCTAGCAGTCAGGGGGAAGTACTGAAAGTTTCCTTGGTAGGATATCAATGATTGATTTCCCCCTTATTTCTTCTAGATCTCACCAATAGGTACACGAATGATGAGCAATGGACACTGGGAACTGGAGCCAGGTAACAGAGTTCATCATTTTGGGCTTCCCTCACCTCCAAGGTGTCCAGACTTACCTCTTTTTCTTGTTGCTTGCAATTTACCTTACTACAATATTAGGAAACCTACTGATATTCTTGGTGGTCCACATGGACTCTCGGCTCCACACACCCATGTACAAGTTTGTCAGCATTCTTTCTATCTTGGAGCTTGGCTACACAGCTGCCACCATCCCTAAGATGCTGGTGAACTTGCTCACTGAGAAGAAGACAATTTCCTTTTCTGGATGCCTCCTGCAGATTTATTTCTTTCACTCTCTTGGAGCTACCGAGTGCTACCTTCTGACAGCAATGGCATATGACAGGTACTTAGCCATCTGCAGGCCCCTCCACTATCCCACCCTCATGACCCAGACACTCTGTACCAAGATTGCTATTGGCTGCTGGTTGGGAGGCTTGGCTGGGCCAGTGGTGGAAATTTCCTTGGTGTCTCGTCTTCCTTTCTGTGGCCCCAATCATATTCAACACATCTTTTGTGACTTCCCTCCTGTGCTGAGCTTGGCTTGTACTGATACATCAGTCAATGTCCTGGTAGATTTTATTGTAAACTCCTGCAAAATCCTGGCCACGTTCCTGCTGATTCTCAGCTCCTACCTGCAGATAATCCGCACCGTGCTCAGGATTCCTTCTGCTGCTGGCAAGAGGAAGGCCTTCTCCACATGTGCCTCCCACCTCACTGTGGTTCTCATCTTCTATGGCAGCATCCTCTTCATGTATGTGCGGCTGAAGAAAAGTTACTCCCTTGACTATGACCGAGCCTTGGCAGTAGTCTACTCTGTGGTTACCCCTTTCCTTAACCCATTCATCTACAGTTTGCGAAACAAGGAAATCAAGGAGGCCCTGAAGAAGCAGCTGATGAGAGCAGGGATATTGGCATGATACAGAATGAAGGTCAAGGACAGATTTGATGATGGCTGAGGGAGAGTCAGAGGAGAAATAAAGTCTCTCATTCTTCTCTGTGTCAGGGATTGAAGGAGAGGCAAGGGCTGCTGGCCTTTGGTGTTATCATCGCCATTACAATATCTGCTGGAACCACAATCAGCTTGACCCCAGAGACTGCAAAGTATACACACTTTCCTAACCTCAGATATTTGTGAATCATGCTTAGAAATTTTGCCAAATATATTTCTTACCTAATACATGTAGGTTCAAGTTTACTTGATTTAACATGAATTATTTAATTGTATCATAAACTATGATATTTATTAAATAAAATTTTAAGTAAAAATAAATGTTTCTTAGATTACTTAACAGTTTTATCCTATAGAAAACATTAGTCTCCTGAGCATATGCTTGAAATTCCACAAATTTGAGTCTAAGTTATAGCTTACTGAATAACTTACCAATTACTTGGTATTGGTAAGGAAAACAAATATGTTTGAGTCTCAATTTTATTACATAATGTTTTCTTGTAAAAGTCTTTTGATAGTTACAACAAAAATCTTTAAATCATGATACATAGTATCTAGCATATTGATTCTAGAAAAAAATTATTTTCATAGTTTTAGTAACTTTAATCCACCTTGTTCATCTTTATTTTGTGATTTAGAATTACATTGTTATGAATATGTATAATACAATAACATTTAGTTCATATATATGTAGCCAAAATATGTCTCAAAATAAAGGAATGAACCAGTCAGAATGTATCCTCTTGAGAAGGATGGAGTGTGTTGTTGTCTGTCCTGTGAGTCATCTGTGTCATTGTTAGTGGTCCTAAACATCGGCATCCCTTATAAAGCATAAAAGTATAGAAGCTGGGCTATAGTCAAGAAGCATATATTGCACGAATTATTTTATTTTACTAGCTATTTCCTGTAACATAACTATTAGAAAATGGGAATTACCTAACTGGCTAGTACTAAGAAATGTTTACGCATTGGACTATAAGCAAGCTTCTAGGCGACTGAAGAGGTAGCTCACCATTTAAATGTTCTTTCTGCTTTTGAAGAGGACTGGAGTTTAGGCCCCAGTACCACATCAAACGGCTCACAACTGCCTGACACTCCAGTTCCAGGGGACCCAATTATTTCTTATATCTCCATAAACAGATGTACAAATATACACATCATGCTGTGGCCAGTCTGTGGTCGCACATCAAATAAGCTTAATAAGGAGAAATCTTTTTTCTTGTGTCAAGAAACAGTATTTGAGGAAGGATATATGATGGGAATCCATGGTGGAAAAACAACAGGGAAGCATTAACAGTAACAGATTACTTTCTTTTACTTGGGGGATTACAACATAGTTATGTCAGTTCTCCCTTCCCTTTTCTCTCTCCAAACAGTCCCATAAAGCCCCATGCTCATTTTACAAATGCATGGTGTATTTTTTATTAAGTGCTGTTATATGCATATATGTGTATTCACATATATTTTAAATATAGCCTGTCCAATAATATAATGTTGCTTGTATATATGCAACATTTGCTTAAAATTTTAACACAAATAAGCCTGTGAATAAATAGTATAAATGAAATTTTCTATCTGGTCTGGCAATGCTTGCTCTAAGAACCAAAGACCAGGCATAAAATCCCACTCCAGTCATGAGATGCCTCTTGATTTCATTAGACTGTTTCTTTGAGTCTTCTTTAAACTCTTTGAATTATTTCATGAAGCTTATCATTGTTCTTATCAGTTATGTGTCCTGGGTTCTTCTAGGTAATTCTCACTGTTCAACACTACTATGGAGTTACGGAGTTAATAACTTTTGGAGAGGTGATACTGGCTTGATATTTTATAATGGTATTTGCATGGTGGGATCTTGGCATGTAGATGACTTCTGTTAGTTTTAAGTCTGATGTGGTCAGAACAGGTTTGGACAGAAGAAAGGATATGGACATGGGCCCATGAAAGTGACTTGGTTGGGATGGAGTCAGGTGGGCAGAGTCATAGGCTTGTGTCCTTTCTATCTTCTGGTTTGCCCTGACCAGCAGGGCACAATGAAGATCGAGCCCACAGGAACCTGGAATGAAAGGGACAAGAGACACAAGGACCGACAGCAAGACAGGCTTTCTGATCAAGCTGTGGATTTTATTTTCTCACAAGGATTCTTTTTTTTAATATTTAATTCTTATGTACACAGTATTGTGTCTGCATGTATCCCTGCAGGTGAGAAGAGGACACCAGATCACATTACCAATGGTTGTGAGCCATCATGTTGTTGCTGGGAATTGAACTCAAGACCTCTGGAAGAGCAGTCAGTGCCCTTAACCTCTGAGCCATCTCTCAAGCAGGAATCTTGGCAGAGCAGAGGGGAGGTTAGGTGGGAGAGGCTATTGCTTTGAAGCAGGAAGGTTGGTCTTGGCAGGATATGTTCCAAGGAAATAAGTCTGCAGCTGGGGGAGTCTGGACTGCAGGCCAGGTGGCAGAAGGGTGGGAGAGCCTGAAATGCAGGCTTTGAAAGCATGCTGTACAGGAAGATAAGCAGACACAGAGAAATGTAAACTTAACTAAGCGCTAGTCTCTAAGAATACAGTAGGAATATGAAGATGGCTTTTATTATGCTATCCTTGTTTGGGGTCCTCCACAGCTGGAAATATTTACAAGAGGTCCTATATGCCAATGATCGCTCCTGGTACTGGTTAATTTTGGTTTGAAATATATTTTCTTAGATATTAGAATGGCCACAGCAACTTGTTTCTTAGGGTCATTTGCCTGGAATATCTTTTTCCAACCCTTTATCCTGAGATAATGTCTATCCTTAATGTCAAGGTATGTTTCCTGAGTGCAGCAGAGTGGTGGGTGGTGTTTTCACATCCATTATATTTGTCTGTGTCTTTTTATTGGAAATTGAGGCTAATGGTAATGAAAGCTATCAATGACCAATGGTTATGGATTCCTGTTACTAATTGCTGCTGGTGGTGGCGGTGGCAGTGATGTTGGTGATGTATGTGCTTTCCATCTTTTGATTTTGCTGGTCTGATTATTTATTTCCTTTGTTGTCATTGGTGTAGTTAACCTCCTTACTTTGGAATTTTCCTTCTAGCACCTTCTGTAGCACTCAATTTGTAAATAGATATTGCTTAAATTTAGCACTTGTCATGGAATATCTTATGTTATCCGTCTATGGTGATCAAAACTTCTGCTTGGTATAGTAGTCTGGGCGGGCATCTGTGGTCTCTTTCAGTCTGAAGCAGATCTATACATGTATTTCTGTCTTTTAGGGTCTCCACTGGGAGGTCAGATGAAATTCTCATAGGTCTGCCTTTATATATGCTACTTGTGTTTTTTTACCTTGCAGCTTTTTATATTCTTTCTTTATTCTATATTTTCATTGTTTTAATTATTATGTGCTGAGGGAACTTCCTCTTCTGGTCCAATTTACGTGGTGCATTGTATGCTTCTTGTACTTCTATATGCATCTTCTTTGGGTTAGCAAACTTTTCTGCTATGATTTTGATGAAAGTATTTTCTGGACATTTAATCTGGGTTTCTTCTCTTTCCTCTATTTCTATTGCTCTTAGCTTTGGTCTTTTTTAGTTTGTCCTATTTGTATTTTTAACACCTTAGATTCTATCTTCCATCTCTTGTATTCTGTTGGCTAATCATGCTTTTCTAGTTCCTTTTTGAATTCCTAGTTTTTTCTTTTCTAGTGTTCCCTCACTTTGGGTTTTCTTTATTAATTCTATTTCCATTTTCTGGAATTGAATGGCTTTATTCATTTCCTTCTACTGTTCCTTGTTTTTTCCCCTGACTATCTTTAAGGAATTTATTAACTTCCTCTTGAAGGGACCTCTATCATATAGTCATATAGGCTGCTTAACGTTTTCCTCTTGTGCTTCAGCAATGCTGGAATATTCAGATCACACCATGGTAGGACTTCTGGGATCTAGTGGAGACACATTGTCCTTGATGCTATAATTTGCGTTTTTCTCATGGAGTCTAATCATCTAGGGTTAGGTTGGGAAGATTATAGTTCTCAGGACTGCTATCTCATTTAATCTTTGTTGAGTAGGTATTTTGTTCCATGGTTTCTGTTGTCTCACTGATTTTTAGGGAGCATTGTGGCTGTGTGTGACCTGATAGGAAACTTTCTGTGGACCTCATAGCTATGGCTACTTAGGGTTCTTGGTATCAAGAGCTGGCACTTAGGAGTGGGGATAGGTCAGGGAACTGAGGGGATTCACAGGAGGGAGGAAAGGAGACTACTCCACCAGGATCTGTTTATTTAGTCTCCTTGGATGGGGTCAGAATGTGAAGAGAGGTCACTCCAGAAGCTTTGCTGTAGACCCAGGGATGAGACTGGGGGATTGGAGTAGCAGAAGGAAAGTGAAGATCTGCAGTCAGCCAACCTGCTTCCCTGCCAGGCAGGACTCAATAGTACTTTTATTTCAAAGCTGGAGCTGAATGTATTAGCATAAATAATTCACAAAAATAATTTTGAGTGAATAATCAATTGTAAAATTATGACTAACATATAATCCTATATAAAGATAAATAGGCAAAACATACTGTTTCTAATTGTGCAAAGATGCTTAGTAGAAAAATAAATGAAAAGCTTACATTAATGAAAACATACAAAATGAGAGGAAAAAATGGATTCAAAGCTAATGGTACTGCTCTGCCTTTTAAGTGAGGTGTTGGTCCAACGAGCAAGGGGCAGAATGTAGAGATGAAGCAAACTACCTAGCTGAGGAAATAAAGAAAGCAGCAGAAGCAGAACATTTAACAACCCAAAGCAACAGCGAGTAGAGGACAGCCTATCCTCAAGGTGAGCATACCTCATGTACTTACCCCTGAGTAGACTGACTAATAGAGAGCGGGTGCTCCAGGGTCCACAGATAAGCAAGACACCCATGGAAGCACTGTCTCTGCATGGTAGGAGACACAAGCCTCAGAACACAAGCAGATGGTAAGACTCCCTGGGGGAAAGCTGTGATGAAGGCAGAGTGTGTTGCCTTTGGACACAACACAAGCTCTTAACTTAGCTCACTTACCCATCAATTTCATATAGAGGGTCTTGATCAGCAACTTTTAAAAATATAAGTACTCAGGGTCAATAACCATCTCTGTTCTCAGAGTTTCTTTTTGTTTCATAAATCCTCATAACCTGTTTTTTAATTAAAAATACATTTTCAAATGCTGTTCCCTACCTCTTCTCTCTGCTACCACTACATTTGATGTTTAACCTTTTATTGCTGTTGCATATACATTTTCATAAGAGAAGAAAGTATCACGGTGTTATTCATTTGATATTCCTCCAGCATTATCGTCCTGTACATATTAGGTCCAAATTCAGCTTTTAAAAAGAGGAAAAGAATAAAAGAAAGTAAATATAGTTCTCTAACTGTGTTTCCTACCCATTATATGAGGTGCTTTTCCAATGTCTCTATGGACATACCCAATGTACTTATCAATGTACATTTTTGTAGAAAGAAACACTGTTCTTGAATCTTTTCCTCAGTCAAACCCACAGAGAAATCTTTGGAGTCACTAAGATGTGACAAATCTCAGTGACAACCTTACTTCTCTGCTAATGTCCCTGTGGTTTTTGGAATCTTTCTGAAGAAGTGCTACCGAAGTTACAAACGTTTCATGGGCTTCGGAATTGTGCTCTTCTCACAAGCTGTTGCAATGGCTTATGCAAATGAATTCGAGAATTTGAACTTTGAGCCACAGACTGTGAGCTTCATTCCTTTTGTTCCTAATTCATTTCTCTTAATTATTAACTCCTTCTGTTAATCTGTGTATCTCCATATAGTTTTGGCTTGCCAGTGATGTTCAGGCATCCTTCTTACCCAGTAGCTACATGGTATCTCCTTGACTCCACTTGCTACCTTTCTCTATCCTTGTTTGGATTTCCTGCCTGGCTAAATCCTGCCTGTCCATTGGCCAAAACAGTTTTATTCATCAACCAATAAGAGAAACATATATTCACAGAACACAGAAGGACATTTCCTATCATCTCCTCTATTCTGTCTAAATAAAAAGGAAGGTTTTAACTTTAACATAGTAAAATTATATATAACAAAACAGTTATCAAGCAAGAACTATAGTTAACAGTATTTAGTCCACTAACATTTGGCAAAATTTTAAGAAAATATTCTATCATCTATCCTTTCTCTGTGAGACTAAAGTTTCATATGTAATTTACCTTTTATCATAACTAAGGAAAACCCTAACATAATTATCTGTCTTAAACTCCATCAAAGACCCCAGAGGATGTAATATAAGCTCTAGAATTGACAGAGACATCTCCCATGCTGTTTCCACCTAGCCATCTCACTTTCTGTCTGTCTGTACACACCTCCAGACTTCTATGATCAGCCTATGGCCAGCTCCATTCTTTGATATTCAGACAGGCTTTATTTATACAAGCAAGATATCACCATAATCCCCTAAGTCTGTCTGATACTGTATAACTGAAACAATTCTTTCTTAGCTTATACAGAAAAGCAAACCAAGTATTGCCTTTATTCTACTAGCATGACTTAAAAATCTTAGCTTCCCATAGGTATGGAGTCTTTGTGAAATGGATGTGTGCAGCAGAGTTCAGTTCCCTAATTAGGCACTTGGGGTATGAGTAACTTTTCCCTAAGCACTGGATAAAGTGTGCCAAATTGAAGCTTTTCTCCACTGCTTATCCCACAAGAAACCTAGTTTTGTGGTTATAACCTTCCTATTTGTGGAGATGCAAAGAAATCAAGAGATGTGAGGAAGGAGAATTCTGGAAAAGGGGGTATAAGATGAAAAGACTTACAGAGTCATTGTTGAGATCATGCAAATAGGAGGCAGGGAAACTGTAGCTCAGGTAAGTGGGTTTTGGCAGTTCATTGTATTCTTTGACTACAGAAAATCACAACAAATACGTAGAGAAATGATCCATTAAATTTCACCCGTGAGACTGGATCTATGGCATGTCTTATTGCTACAGAATCCTGGGTTCAGTTATAATCTAAGATGCCTATGTATCATACAGCAGAGTCATAAAAGACAGCTAGGAATAAAGAAACCCCCACCAATGACAGTAGCATACTACTTTAGTTTCTGGTTGTTCCTTTCCCCAAGGAAATAGAGGAGTAATTTTTGGTATAATTCTTCCTTTTTCCTTCTTCCAGGTTTCAGTTTTGTGGCTGTGAAGTGTACTATTGACAGAGCAATTTGACTCACTGCACAATTATACAAGTATTATGTCATTGCAGACCAATAAGGAATAGGAGATCATAAATGCTGTTGAAATTGTTTTAAGAACACCTCATCTATTCACATTATTTTTAATGGATCAAAGTAAGCTTTGAAGTCTTCTATAGCCCTTGCCTGTGCAAGATTTTAGCATACCCACACCTTTTCATTTAAGAAAATTTCCCTCAGTTACCTGAGGGATCCAATTGGGTCAAGAAATATTTCAAGGCAATGAATCTGGGTAAAAAGAAACAAACAGAAGTTACATTACCTCTACTGTGAGCATCAACTTTTAAAGTAAATGTCATGAAGAAATACATCTCTTATGTGAATTGTAGTTTTACAAATCTCTTGAAAACAAGCCAGATCCTTGATTCATTATCCTTTGTGTGAGGATGCTTGTTTTGTAGTTCCAGGAGAGTGTATGTACTGTGTCTAAAGACAGCTCCCAAATGATTGACTCTTTTGGGTAGCTATCAGTAATTTTCTCTTTTGCCAGGGCAGTCTTCAGATGTCTCACTTTCAAGCAGTTGAATTTGACAAAAGACACAGTTTTGACTTCCATGATGCAAAGTATTTTAACAAATAATCATTAAAAACACCACCAAACCTGTTGTTAGACACTCATTGTTTTCCAGCTTCAGATTAGTAGAATGAAGGAAATTTCTGTCAAAGACAATGTGTCACAAAAGTCTCACGAGAAGAACTGGTAATTTTCTGTTGAAATTCGGAGATGAATCTTCTTCTCAGAAAGTAGCACAGGACTAAAAGATCATGGGCCCAATGTTTGTATACTTGAGCTATTTTATCAGATCTCAGTAGACTCATTTTGCACCAAAAATCATTTTCCATCGACAGGTATGTTGCCGTCTGTAACCCACTCCGCTATGCAATCATTATGAATCCGCAGCTGTGCATGCAGCTTGCCACAGGCTCCTTCGTCCTTGGCTTCCTCATGCTCCTCCCAGAGATTGTGTGGATATCTACTCTGCCCTTCTGTGGCCCCAATCATATCCGCCAGCTCTTCTGTGACTTAGAACCTGTACTTCTCTTGGCGTGTACCAACACCTCTATGATTCTGGTTGAAGATGTCGTCCATGCGATCTCCATCCTGACCTGTGTCTCTATCATTACCCTTTCCTATTTAAGAATCATTACTGTGATCCTGAGGTTTCCATCTGGTGAGAGCCGTCAGAGGGAATTCTCCACGTGCACAGCTCACATCACTATTTTCTTGCTGTTTTTTGGCAGTGTGGCTCTCATGTACCTGTGCTTCTCTGTCACTTTACAGCCACTGCTGGAGAAGATCATCGCACTAATGTTTGCTGTCCTTGCCCCATTTTTCAATCCCATAATCTATAGCCTGAGGAACAAAGATATGAAAGATGCCATTAAGAAAATGTTCTGTTCTCAAAAGATATTCACTGTCTCTGGAGCTAATGTGAGTTTACCCATGCTTTTTCAAAGATGATTCATGCTCTATATATGCTTTTAAGGCAAAAAATCATAAGATTACAATGTAAAATTTTCATAGTCTTGGTTGTGCTTCTTTCCAGTTTTCTAACAAGTTGACCATTGTTTGTCCTGACAAAGGAATTCACCTGCACCCTGGCACTATTCATATTATCACCAGTATCTTATTATTTTGAAATTACAAATAGTGCAGTACCATCTTTTCCAAGCCAACTAAGGATCATGATGTAAGGAATGATAGCATTTGTAGTTGGCACATTTAAATGCTTCCTTTGTGTACCCATTCACTCTATACGTAGAATTGGTTGATTATTTATATAGACACTTATAAAACATCAACAAATTCCATATAACTAAGATGATTTGGGCTTGAGAAAGGAGTATGATTCCTGAAGTTTATCCAAAAAAAGTCACATACTCTCCCTAGTTAGTCAGTGATAAAATACCATGATTATGTTTCACATAGTCACTAACTTCTGATGTTTGCTGTTATCATCTCTTCTATGGGACTTCGTGTTGATTTCAAGATTCCATAGCAAACATTCTAGTGCTGCTAATGATAAAATAGATTTAGTAAACTGCCTTGAGGCTAAAAAATATAAACACAAAACATTTAAACAGCTATAGTTGGTATTTTTTAAATGGGACCGTAGATGACTCTGTGGTTAATAGTTCATATTCTTTTTGCATTGAGTTTGTATCTCAGCATCCATGTCAGACAACTCACAATGACATGTGGCTCCGGCTTGTTCCTTGTTTTCGATAGGCAGACAGAAAGGGGAAGGGACCACAGATAGGCAACAAAGATGGCGAACTTCTGGCTTTTTCCTGACCTGAGAAAAAGGCCTTGAGTCCTGAGGCCTGGTGTTGCTGATACGGCACTCCCAGCCAGAGGACATGGACTGGAAAATGCTTGTTCAAAACTGTGGGCCTATCATTACTTAGTCTTTGTTCAAACTGACCAAATATCAACTGGAGGAAGAAGGCACCTCACACCTCATAAAGACACATAAAGCTTCCAGTTGTAGAGGAGAGAACGGACTTTGCTTCCAGAGTCCCCACTCTATCTTTCTTTCTGTGTACCTTGCTGTGTGCGCTGTATGTATGTATGTGTGTGTTTGTACACACGCCTTGTGTATGGGAGTGTTATGTGAGCACATAGTGTGTGTGTGCACCTAGGATGTGTGGGTGTGCACTTTGTGTGTGTATCAGTGTCTATGAGTTTCTTGTGTGTTTGCCTGTGTGTGTGCGCGTGTGTGTATGTGTGTGTGTGTGCACCTAGTCTGTGTGAGTATGTGTGTACCTTATGAGTGTATGTTTGTGTACCTTCTGTATGTAAGTTGATTTGTGCATGGGTAAATGTGAATGCCTTTTGTATTTGTGTATGTGTGTATGTGAGTGTGTTTCTTCACCTTTAATAAAATTATTTTTCATCATTGTTTCTACTTTGTGTGTCTGTTATTTTCCTGCTGTCAGCTGACATATTGGATATTTTCTCCTTCCCTTTAATTCTGTGACTGGCAGAGAAAATGAACCCATTAAAGATCCCTAGAAGACAATACTAAAGGATTTGACAGCCTCCTCTGGCCTCTGAGAATACCCACATACATGTAGTACATACACACACACATGCACACACACAAAGACACATACGCACACCTGTTCACACACACATATAAATACAAATGAAAAATAATTTAATAGTGGTAATATTACAACCTTTTGTCATGTTCCATTAAAATGTCATGCCATCATAATAACTCACTTTCATAATGCCAGTAGTCAGGAAGTAGAGGCAGGCAGATGTCTGTGAATTCAAGACCAGCCTGATCTACTAACCGAGTTCCAGAACAGGCTCTGAAGAAAAAGCTACAGAGAAATCCTGTCAGAAAACTCATAATTAGCACTATTTTGCAGCTTTGGTTTGCTCCTCCATTCTCTGTCCTTAATCTTATAATTGCCCATCATAAATTTTCTACGTTTTGGTGTCTTTTTCAGGCTATTCTGCTTTCTTCTTACAAAAATACTCCAGGAGTTTTAGGAATAAAGTAAAATCTCCAGAAAAATGACTTTGCCTAGCTCCTATGAGGAGAAAAACAAAGCTGGAAACAGTTACCAACAATCTTAAAGGAGCAAGAGGCCATCTAGTGGTGTGGAAATGCTGTCATCAATAATATCAGAATTTTCTTTCCACTTTTTCTTATTTTTCTCATTTTTTTAAACAAGGTGTTAAAATGGCATGTTTGGCATGATAAACTCTAAGTGCATTTTAAATGCTTATGCTTAGAGTCTCAGATATGTTTAGCTCACATATTTCATGACAAAAGCTTCATTTTTCAGAAGATGAAGTTCATTATAGAAAAAACAGAATTATTGTAAGAGCCACAGAAATTGCACTCTTAACAAGACATAGTGTTTCCTGGACATGACAGTGAAGCTGCTTCCATCAGATCTCATCAAGAAGGTTTTGTAAATAAGACAAACCACTGTGGATGTGGGAAATCTTATAAGTCCCAGCTGCTTTGTGAAGAGTTTCACACAATTAATGGCTGCTGGAGAAGGAAATAGTAATAAGTTTTTTCTCAAGGACAAGTATCATGATAGGTTATTCAATTCCAAGTGGTCAATTCTAAAGCCATATACATAAAAGCAACACTAAATTGACACACTAGGGAAATTCAAATCAAAGCAACTCTGAGATACTATCTCACTCCTGTCAGAATGGCTAAAATAAAAAACTCCAATGACAGTTTATGCTGGAGAGGGTGTGGAGAAAGGGGAACACTCCTTCACTGCTGGTGGGAGTACTTACTCATACACCCACTTTGGAAATCAATATGGAGATTCCTCAGGAAAATGGGAATCAGTCTACCACAAGACCCAGCAATTCTACTCTTAGGCATATACCCAAACGATGCACATTCATACAAGGACGTTTGTTCCATTATGTTCATAGCAGCATTATTTGCAATAGCCAGAACCTGGAAGCAACCTAGATGCCCCTCAACTGAAGAGTGGATAGAGAAAATGTGATATATTTACACAATGGAGTACTATTCGGCGGGGAAAAAAAAAACAACGGAATCTTGAAATTTGCAGGCAAATGGATAACACTTGAAGAAACCAACCTGAGTGTGGTAACCCAGTCACAAAAAGAGAACATGGTATGTACTCACTCATATATGGATTTTAGACATGTATCAGGGGAGTGCCAGTTTACAATCTCACTGCCAAAGAGTCTGAGAAATGGAACCTTCATCCAGTGACTGATGAAAGCAGAGGCAAATACCCACAGATAAACACTGAACTGAACTCCTGGAATCCAATGTCAGAAAGGGAGAAATGATGGGCAAAGGAGTTAAGGTTGGGCTGGTTTAACCCACAGAAACAGTTGACCTGAACAAGGGGGAGTGCTTTGACCCCAGATTGATGTCTGTGTGGAAAGTATGGGACTGGCCCAGACCTCCTGAATGTGGGTGTCGGTGAAGAGGCCTAGGTAATCTACAGGGCCTTGGGTAGTATTTATCCCTGGCATACAAATAGACTTTGAGTGCCCATCCCACAATGAGGGATGCTCTCTCAGCCTGGAATCTTGAAGGAGGGCCTAGACCCTACCCTGGGTGACAAGAAAGACTCTGGAGATCCACCATGGACGGCCTCACTCTACCTGGGGATCAGAGTGGAGATTAGGTGGGGGCCTGGGGGGCCTGGTGGGAAGTGATGGGGAGGAGGGGAAGGGGAGGAATCTGGGATTGACATGTGAAACAAACTTGTTTCTAACTTAAATAAAAAAGGAAAAAAATTGACTCACTAGTTTGTGTGTGTGTGTACATACACTTGTATGTTTGTGTGTGTGTGTAAAAGAAGGAAGAGGTCAAGAATTTCAGAGTAAGTGGGGGTGACACAGGAGGTGTTGAAAGAGGGGAGGGAGGGGCAGAAATATATATACCATATTCATGTATAAAATTCTCAAATACAAAATTAATTTGAACTAAAATGAATGAAATATCAGTAGTATTACAAACAAACAACACTTACATACTGGGGGACACTGACGCAGGAAGATATAAATCTCATTTTAGGGTTAGACCATACCTGCCCACATGTGCACACACACACACACACACACACACACACACACACACACACACACAGATGCATAAAAATAAATAAATGATTTAAAGCAGTTGTTATAAACTACTTAGCTAAAAATCAGAAACTCATGGAACAAGTTTGAACTTTACTTCCAAATTTTATTTATCAATCTTTAAATAATGAAGATTCTGACAAGTATATTTAAGGATGTTTAAATTGTAAGGCAGTTTATATGTAAGAAAATATTTTAAATGTTAACAGGAAACATAATGGTCTACCCACGTTACTCTTATGAAACCCCTTTGAGCCTGGCATCCTATAACAAACACATAGTAGCTAGTCCATTTTTTATTTTTTATTATTAAATTTTTTTATTTTTAAGTTAAAATTTAGATTAGAAACAGCTGGTCCATTTTTTACTGAACTGAGTGTGTACCTAATTGAATTATATGAGCTGAAAGTGGAGAAAATTTGTCTTTTGTGTCAGGAAACAGTACTTGAGCAATGATGGATGACAAGGGAATCTACTGCTGGAAAAGCAAGAGAGAATGTCAAACTCAGCATTTTCCAGAACTATTTTGTATGGTATGTGTCTCATTCCCTAATGATTGTCCTCATCAACACATGCAGTCACAGAAGAGAAGTGAAGGAACTACATTACTGTAGTATGTCGTGGTATATTAACTTGTGCTTAAAGCAGGAGTATCCACATATACTGTTTCAGCTGTCATGATTCTGGTAGACGCTCTGCAAACAAGGGCCACAGTGACCTAGAGGCACAGTTCATCATGCCTGTTAATGGTAGGAGAACAAGTATCTGCAGCAGTAGAGCAACATCTGAGGCCCAAAAAGGCAACAGTGAGGGTTTTCATATCGGGAATGGAGATCTATTTCTGAGCCCGG